GCAATGTTGTTCATAATTGGAAAAAATTATGTCACGGAAGTGGAGTGTGAATTGGAATATATTATGAAAAATAACCTCATCTCTCTCTGCCGTACTTGTTTGAGCCGCGACAGATACCCTTCTCATGCGACTCGGGAGGATTTTAACTCTTAGGGGAGTTCAGACCTAGCAAGCAAACGATATGAAGAATGAGAGAGAGGGAATATTTTACCAAAAGGTAAAGTTGGAAACGTCAATCTGGTACTGAGGTCTCAAAGTTTTTATCCTACTGACAGAAGCAGCGCAATGTAAATAGGGCGATAGGGGAAGAGACTTCTCTCCAGGTCGCAGCAGCCCTGTAATTGGAAAAAGGGCATGCCAGTAATTCAATGACATTAAGCACAGTGGACAACAGATGTAAAATTGGAGAATGTATCACTGAGAGAAAGTGCAAGTGAATGGGAAACCTGCCAGAATACCAGTATTTCTCTAAACATCACAAAACGGGACGCCAAGTATTTTTTCAACTTTTCAGTCATGCTTCAAAAACAACACAGAGAAAATTTTATTATTCCATTTTTTTCCTGAACATTAGATTTTGCTTTTTTTATATGATGCAGATAAAAGCTATTTGGCAAATGTAGGTGAAAAAGCACGCAAAACAAACAACCTATTAATGCTCAGAATTATATATGTATTCCCTAAAAATGTAAAGCATTTTTGCTTATTTATTATGTAAAACAAAACTGTTAAAATGTTAATAAAATCCTGTAGCCAAAGGAAAAGTGCGTTGGAGTTCTTTTTCACTACAAAACCCAGGCTTTCACAAAGAATAATGCTGCATATTTGAAAACTGATTTCAGTTGTAATACGTACTATATTTGGCAGTTAATGTACTATAAAATACAAGGCGCTTTTGAATTTCTTGTATTTTAGCCGCGCCGTGTTTTAAAGGCAGACTCTTGGAGAACTGAAAATAACACACTCACTAATGAAACACGCTAATGCAAGACACTCAAACACGGCGTCGCTTTGCAGTCCTTCCCTGCAGTCCCTTTTTCTCAATTGTGCGTTACATGACCGCAGCCTGCCACACGCCATCATTTTTTGACCTCCGTTCTTTCCTCAGCCCAGATTTAATTTCTCTGGTGTCTGATCGGTGCGGTGCATCACTGCAGTAACTTACGCATGCAAATGCTTTTATCAAACCAGTTACCCCAGGAATCAGCTCTTTGCGGCACAAATCCTTTCCATGACAGATATGATATTAAGCTGTACTTCAATTTTTTTTTTTTTTATATAGCTACTGTATATTCCAAAGTAGTTGCAGAGAGTAATTTTTTAGACTGCTGATGTCTTGTAGCTGAATTAGGAGAAGCAAACAAATACATGAATAAAAACCATTGTACAACGAAGCAGCAGCATAAAGTATTAAACGCTTTACTGTTTTTTCTAGGTAATAGCCCTTGAAGTATATGATAGTTGTTGGATATATTTTAAAAAATGCTCCAAAGTCTCATAAAACATTTTACTAGAAGTGAGACGTACTGCTTGAACTCTTGAATGTTAAGTATATTATTACTTTTTCAAATCTTTGGAACCAGCGTTGGTGCTGACTGGACACAACCCTCTTGCTCTTCCTGAACCCGGACACGGGCCAACGCACCCAACTTGCTCAGCAGAAATTTTCCTGTCGATAAACGATCTCTACAAGTATTTTCACAATGTGTAATAAGAAAAGTTATAACAGAGTCCAGGAGGAAAAAAATGAAGTCACAGGAATATGGACACCGTAATACATGTTTTTTGAAAGCACTTCATCAAGAAAATAGTTTAAGATATGACATCACCCTCACAAGGAAAGAGGTGTTTTACTAATCCAGACAGCTGAATGAAATGAAACATTTTCAGTGCATTACATCTGGACCTGGAGCAGTTGCCTGGCTCTCTCCATACCCACGTCCGGAGACGCTCTACACCACATCTGTCTGTCCTACATAATGACTCTCATACAAAAAAGTTGCGTTGCAGCCTTCTGGGTGTGCCAAGGTCGGCATAAAGAGTCCGATCACTGGCTGCGCTCCCCATCTACCTTAAGGTGAGCGCGGTACAGAAGGTTGACTGGTTGACTCAAGAAACTTGGAGGAGCAGCTGCTGGTTGGAAGGGCCTCCTGCAGCCGCTCACTATACAAGGGGAATTTTCTCTGTCAAGTTCTTTGGTTCTTCTGAAGGAAAGGTTGCGTCTGTGACAAAGGCTTCATCCAACTCACGGCCGTTTCCTCAAGGCAACAGGTAGTTTTACGCACACAGAATAGGCCGCTAAAAAGTAGAAGCAAAGGGGTACATTCCCCCAGCACTCACCTTTGCACCGACACATCCACACTTGGTTAGTTCCGATTTGCAGAAAGGAAGTTCAACACTAAGTTTCATTCCAGTGCAAAAATTTTCAGAATAGTCTTATGACTCAAAGTGAGAATAGAACAAGCTTTTCCTTAAGGCGGCTATGAAGAAATCCAAAAGGAACAACAGCAACTGGGAAATATTGCAGCATTTTACTATTAAAAATTCATCTGCCTGCTGCTCCGACACCGTGGTAGCGCAGCTGAGTGAAGGTTTGCAGGTCCATTCTGCCCTTCTTCACACAGGAACATGTTTTATCATTTCCCTCCGCCATTCTTTCACAGCATTTGTCCCTAGCGAAGGGAGAGCGTGTTTTAAGGAAGGAATTCAAGTCAAAACCTGACGCATGGCGTGATCGTTAAAAGGAATCTCTACAGGCACCCATCAGTCTATCTGGAATACGGGCAAAATCAAAGGTGCTTCCTATAGGCACACCCTACAGTACCAAAACAGAGAGAGTGGTTTAGCTACAAATACCGACTGGATTGAGGTACAGGTCCGAAGTTTTGTAAAACGCCATGGTTGGAGAAAGAGTACCACAGGCATGCTTTCCGCAGCTGACCTGCCACGGCACGCGCTGCTCATAACCTGCTTGAAGGAAAAGGTAGGAAAGAAGTGATGAAGCGCAAGGAAGATGTGGGTGTGCGTATGCACGCACATATTTTTTTATATATGTATACATAAATGGGCTTGTCTTTTTATTTAAACCTTGTTAACTGGGACTCAAGTTTCATTTGACTATAATATGCATCAATATTTGATTCTGAAATAAAGGTAGCTGCCAAAAATTAACTGCCCAAAGCAGTTTTGAAAGCATCTGGTGGGAAAAAGCAAAAACTGGTGTTCATGTGTATCATTTTCACTATGCCAATTAACAGCTGTCTACACTCCACTGTACCATTCGATGAAATATTGGCGTGCGGTCTCACATGATGCGGATCATGGGGGGAAACAAAACAGCGGGGTAGGGACAACTGGGCACAGAGACAAATCTACTGTGATACGGGGCATAAAATCCTAAATGTAACAGGGACAACTTAATTTCTAGCACTTGCTGCCAAACCACCTAAACCCTAATATGTGAGGATTACTCTACATTACCATTACAGACTAGCTTCCTTGTTTTAAGACTTCTTGGCTTTGTAACTGAAACAACCTACTAACATGTTCAGATTGTTTATGAGGTGAACTTTAACCTAAAAAGCCCATTTCTGGCTAGCAGACAGGAGCCCTTTGTGGAAACCAGTTTGGCTGATCCACCTTCAGTAGGGACAAGGTAACCTAATAAGCAGTGCTGCCTACTTGAGGAAATGAAGCTGGCCACATCACACCTATGACAAACTTTTCATTTGCAGAGAACTGTCTGAAGCGCTGGGGTGGCCAAGCCTCCCGGCACAAATTCGCCTTGCCCGGGAGAAAAACCTGACAAGCTGCCATGGCACGGAAGCTCCCGCATGCCTGCTTCGCGCTGCTTTCCAATCACAACCAAGCTGTTACACCTAACCCGGACCTGTGCAGCCAGCCCCCAAAGCATGCTACTTTCAGGTCAGCAGGTGTTAAACCTCTTGCTTTTAAGGGTTAGCAGCAAAACCAGATGCCTCGCTTCGGGAAAAGGGGTGACAACAGAAACAATGGAAGAGAATTTGGACACAGATTAACTACGTGTTTTCTCTTTTTTGCTGTAGTAGTTGCTTACGGCAGGGATTTTAAGAGCGGGGCGTTTTTCTCTTCTTTATTTGCTTAACTTCATTACTATCACAATAGAATTACTATTAAATTGTACACTATTTAGACTTCCCTCGCCTGACATGGGATTCTACAATAACCTGGATAAGAGGACTGCAACTAGGTGATACGCTACCTCTGGTGGGCTATTCTTAGGGTTGCTGAAGCCTCTTGGAAGACTATGATTCAAAGGAGATGCAAGATGATTTACTCAGATCCAACTGACTGAGAAGAGCAGAGTACAAATAATTTGGATAACCAACCACAGTTCTTAAGCGCTGATGGAAAACTCCCCAAAAACTCAAGGCAGCCATGACGGAGCTGCAGACCTGAGACCAAAGCACAGGATGGTAAACTGTTGTACAGGCCCACACAGAGAACCGTATCAGCAAGGCTCTACTTTGATCTGGATCTAAACACAGTGGTAATCCCAGTAATTCAGACATATATGATGAGCTCTTCCAGCTGTTTCCACCGCAGACAACACATAAACCAGAATTTAGTTTAAAAAAAACATCGTGAAAATGTAAATATTACAATAAAACACAGAGCCACTTCAGTTTCTCAAATACAGTGTGTAATTGAAGAGAAAGTTCTGTACCTTGCAAGGTATTCCTTTGCAATCAGGCTCCTTTTAAAGAATAGATGCTTACAAAGAATGGCAACACAGATGTGTTTTAAAGCTAATAGGAAAGAATAAAGGCCTTCAGCAATGAGATTATTACCTCTTCTTAACTGTTGAAGTTTTCCATGTCAAAGAACAAAGATATCAGGAAATCAGGAGGGGGAAAAAAAAAAATCAAGCTATTAACTACCCTTCCCACCTTTAAGCAAGTCTAGCTGCTTGGTGCCAAATACTAAAGAGCGTCCTTTTGCGCTGTGAGCTCTGAGGACTGTTAACATTTTGGGACTATGAGGTTTCTCAGCATGTCAAAAGAGTTGCCGTCCGGGTGCACAGACTCTACACCCTTGCCTTCTTCATGGACTTGAAGGAATCCATAATCATCTATCCCGACTATCCACGCAATTGGGCCCTCCTCACTGTGGAGACGGACTTGCTTACCACTGCAAATAAAGAGAACCAGACAGTTAGGAATTAATTGGTGGACACTGCACAAACAATGAAAAATAACTTAGAGGACTAATGCCTAGCAGAATATTTTTATTTCCCACTTCACTGGTTCTTTACAGAGAATGATTTTCAGCAGCGTTTTCTACCTGCTTTAATTTCTTTCTGTGGAATTAACAGAGTTAGAGTTAATCCAAACAGTCTATTTCTTTTACAAAAGACATGAGTACAGCAGCTTCATCAGCTAAACAAATCATTCCCAATTCCCCTTGTTTTGAGATGATGTAAAATACCTAGAAGCATTCCTTAACTCATGCTAGTCCATTGATTTTACTATGTGCTATTTTTATTCTCCCTTAAAAAATGGCATCCTACTTGGGAGTATATTTTAATTAAGTCACTAGTTTTAAAGGCAATGTAGTAGAAAAAGTAGAAAAAGACAAAATACCCATGAGGTCTTTCCAACTTTCTTAAAAGAAAGTTTGGGGAGAACATTATACTTACCTGTGTACCCAGTACTTGTAGTAATGGGGAAGAACACCGTTGGGACCTTTCTCTTGAAAAATATCTATAAGCCTCTCTAGCACAGTAACAGTTCTTGCAATAAGACAGTCTGCAGTTAAAGCCTTCAGCTTTGTCCCCTCTTCCTTATTAAATTTCATTATGAGATCATTGATGCATATGGTGGGGTTGCTGTTATTCACATTAAATCCAAAGCCTGAAGAAGACAAACCAAAAGGAGAGGACATGATCTGTAAATGCAAATACTTTGTTACCACCAGAAAGTCAGGACTTTCTTCAACTACTTGATACAATTGTCTCCAAGGATGTTTCCAGGAGCTGTTTTTCTTCAGCCTCTTACAACTTTAAATCTTCCTACTCGCATAATTACAAATCACAGTCCAGATTTTACTTGTTTCTTGCCCTTAAAATGCCTCCTCCAAATAGTAGAAGCAAATCCAGTGAAGTCCTTTCAACAACACACTATCCCATCAATGAGGCTTAGGAAGATGGCAAGTGGTAACTTGCACGTTGGTTACAATAACATCAAAGTGAGAAATTCTTCTACTCTCTGGCAGCTGACAGGTGATGAGCTAACTGAGAGTAAATCATTGATCATACTTTAAGATGGAGTTTTATCTATCAGTCTAAAATTTAATTAAGAGACCTTTCTGTTTACTACAGTTAACCGATTGCATTTTCTGAAAATTAAGCCTTTTTACTCAGCTGATAAGCCTTGTTTGGTTTGCTCTGGAAAGCCCAGAAGATTTAAGTTTGCCATCTAAGACTCCAGTTTGCTTAAACTATCTTGCCACAGCATATTCTTTAGAAGCTTCAAGTCTCTCGCTGAGATTCCTCCAGCTAGAATAATGTTGGCAGAACGCCTTTCTTATTTAAATATGGCTCTTGGGGCCTTTTTTGCAGCCTGCTGAAACAGGCTTCGAGGGATGTAAAGAAATATATTGTATTACCTGTTTATTTTTTTCTCCTAATAATTTGGATTTTTCTTTCCTCAGACATTTGGGATAAAACCCCAGTCTGTCAATCAGGGTTAGACATGATACAACTCCATCTGCAAGAAGGTCCAGATGCACCGTTTTGTAAATTTGCTATTAATGAGACTATTCATGTATGGAAGTAATTCATATTAACTATGAGGAGAAGGATCTCTTCAGTGAAAAGGAGTTTTTGACTTTTAACTAGTCAGAGAATGCACGCAAAGAAAGCCACAGTGATACCAGTACCAATACATAGATCCTATGGAAATGAGGAGAAGTATACTATCAGAAAGAGACAAAGGAAAACGAAATGGAAAACATAATGTGCCATGCCAGCAAATCCCAACTCAGTTGGTTACATCCAAATAACGTAGAAGTGAAGAGAGGGTGACCGCGGCCATTATACTGTGACTGGCACTGTCAGGGTGCACAATGGGGCCTTGGAGTCCATCTGCAGGCTGAGGGCACTTGGGTGTGTATGGATGGAGATCACTACGTAGCAAGCCAAAAATTGAAACAGACACAAGAGACATACTGAGATGATGAGCTCAGCTGAGGCAGAAGCATCTGGGGCTAAATGTGGTGGCAAAAATGGGGCCAGCTAATTTGAAAAATATTAGGTGCTCAGGACTCTTAGGGTATCTCTGCATTGCCCATGTGAGATGAGCGAAAAACAAATGTTTGGCACCGACCTTGCGGTGTGCTGATGTGGCTAATACATCTTCCAGTTCCAGGGCCAGCGCTGCCTTCAGCATCTGTGCGCTGGTCAGGCCTGCCTTGGCTGCACACAGAGGCACACAGAGCTTTTGCAGGTCAAGCACGTTGGCTGTCCCTTGCATTCCAGTTGTGTTTGGCTACCTACGTCTGTTCTGAGTCCGGTCCTTAAATTAATGAAGTATATTCTTCTGCAGAACAACTCCTCCCGAAGTCCTGCAATAAGTAAGTTCTTACAAAACAGGTCTTTAAAAATGTGGTTAAAAGTATGAGCATGAACTGTGTCATGTGTGAGGCCTTCAGCACATGGTACAGGTGAAAAGGCAGGTTTATCTCTTGCCTTATTCTTCTGAGGTACTTCTCAGAGCAGTGAAGCGATGTAGATGATTATTGATTTTGATGATTTCCCTCATATATGGAATACTCTTCATGAGTGTCAAGTAAACAGTGAGGTCCGGGAAAGGAATATCCATGACTGTAGAAAGGGTATGATGCATCTGGCTTGCCCGTCCTGTTGTAGAAGTTTGATCTCATTGCTACTACTAATACAAGAAGTTAGATGTCATGAGTCACCCCTACTGCTCTCAGTGACATACATCACTGAAATGATGGAAAAGATGCTTGGATCCTATGTGGCAAGTAACATGCAATCTTAGAAGCTTCCAGACGAAAGGAAGTTGATGAAAATGCACAACTTTGTATATACCTCAGACCTATCACCACTAAGACAACTCCTAGGGACATCAGAGAGAATGTATACAGAAAGTTTCCATTTGAATTTGAATGTTTTGGTGTTTAGGATAAGAAACAAAAGGTCCAAAACTAATATGTAATGTACAAGAGATATTTGACAAGATGAACTATTTTTGGAGCCATTTTTGCTTTTCTTGTGTTAACCAGAACAGGCTCTGGAAAAACATATGGAAGCAGTAAATGGTTGATGGGGCACAGAGAGACTCTTTTAAGTGTCTCAGTGCAACTTCCATTCTGTACATGTAGATTACTTACAAAATGAGGATATAACAATTGAACAGAAAATTAACGGCTGGGTGTGTTTCACACTTCAATGCTTTTGCTTGTTCGTGCCTTAGAATTTACAGTACCTTGACAGAATCGATGTCATGCCCACACTCTCTTTGCAAGACACTTTACTTATCTACTGTGCTATATTCAAATATAAACTAAATATTGTCTTCTTCTTCTTTAACCTTTTAGACTTGCTACGGAACTTTCATTTAATTTTTTAGACATAGCACAGATAATTATTTTTGGAACTGGAACCTAGATCTCTGCTGGCAGGCTTCTAAGCATGTCTGACAGATCTGCGCTGCTGCTGGTTAGGGGGAAAATTTTCCTTAACAAATAGCAAGATGATTATCAGACTTGAAACAACAGAACCATCTCAAAACTTATTTTGTGCACGTAAATGTCTTCTCCTGTTACAGCACCGGGACTTGCTGGAAAATAGACATACAGTCTTTCTGAGAGTGGCCATGCTACGTTTTTGGAACCAGCCTTCCAGGTAGACTGTTCGCCTTCAGCATAAACAAAGAGATTGTCACTCCTTGCTCCAACTACTTTGCAAATTTTACTTTTTGAGAGAACTAAAGAAAGTGATTAATTATTAATCAAGTCATTACTTCGCTGCTGCTTCACTGGCAATATTCCAGTTTTTAGAAAGGTATCAACAGAAATAAGTTATGAATAAATTTAAAAAGGGTGAAAGGAGAAATTAAAATATTACTATGTGTACATAGCTCTTTTTCTCCCAATTTAAAAGGCATGTTATTTATTTATTTGTCATGTTGCAAAAAATGAAAATTGAAACAAATTGATACATTTCTCACTATCTTCTACTAGTTTTGCAATAGATCGAGGAGGAGGTTTTCCCTCTCTCCTGTAATGCTCTTTCTTTGAACTCCACTGCACCAGCCCAGATGCTTGCATTTATATTTTCCTTGTCAAGCATATGGAATTATTAGGAAGAATGAAAGCATTTACTTTTTGTGCTTCCTTTTGATTTAATATTGTGCTTTATCTCCTTACGCCTGCTGTCATTATTTGTTCTTGTCCTTATCATCTGAACTCATAAAGTCATTAACAACAGATTTCTTTAGACAAAGACAGTATAGAAAAGCATGAAAATAGACATTTACCAATAAGTATATGAAATGTTGTTTCAATAAGCGTAGAGTTTACCAGAACTCCACCAAGCTTCATAAGATCGCTGTAGTAAATATCATTCGGCCATTTTACTCGCAGATCAATATCCTAAAGAAATAAAAACATACATTTAGAAACACTCTGCTCTTTGATACTGACTACCAGAACACGGCTCATTCATCACTCCTTATTCTATATTTTCTGTCCCTCTTTGCCACACCGAATGTGATACTGTCAACTGCTCTTCATAATGAAAACCTATTTAAGTGCTCCACAAACGTTACTGAAAAAGTCACAGTAACATGGTTACATGGTTTACTAAGGAGGTTGGCAGCTGTCAGAGGGGAAAAAAATTATGGCAGATAATAAAGGGTTAGAGCAACCAAAAGGGGGACTAAAGATACTAGAGATTTTCAGTCTCAAAATCGTGAGGTTTTAGAGAATTCATTTCCTTCATTCATGAGTGCCTATTAAAGATTTAAAAGATCTATTCATGAAAGATGCAAACTGTGGCAGCCACTGTGGCTTTCTTCTGATAAAAAATCAGGGGAAGGCCACAAAAAAACCAACACTC